TGTGTGCATATAGCATCAGAACTTCGGTAACAGAGAGAATGCTCTTCTTGTACATCTCAACCTTGGTCCCCCTCAGATACTGATGTCACAATGTAGTATGTATCCATTGTTTGTGGAATCAAGGCTGAGGTGGCATATGAGGGCCTGTGTGCAGTCGACACGGAGAGTAAATTTTTAGAACTCCCCTGGGAATCCCATAATCTCTTCTGAAAAATATATTTTTTTCTATATCCTGGAGCCCTTAGTGCCTATGTTTACTCTTGGTTCATCCTTTCTATTGTGTTTGTGAAAAGGACCCGGCATCACATTAGGAATTGTGATCTCTCCAACAAGCACATCTTCCTAAGCCTCAGCTTTACTGTGCCTTTCTTGACAAACTGCAAGCTTTTGAAATCTTTTATCTCTCATTTTTTTTGTCTCCCATTCTCACAGTAAAGCTGACTAAAAGCTGTCAGCAATATCCACAGAAATAACTGAATACTGTGCTGTCCTGAAGTTTCCTGTAGCAAATTAATTAGCCCATTAAAATTAAGCCTCACACAGAGTCTCAGGACATGGACTAAATGTAATCAAGTTCTATTCCAGGCTGTAACATAAGTGGTCTATAGTTCAATTTCAGGTAGGTTCCCCCTTTCCCTCTGAATGCTCTTGAGTAAGATCTGCATTTCTGGGGTAGTCTGGTCTTCTGAGCGCTAACCAGATTCACCAATAAACTCTTCTTAAAGCAGTCTAAAGCTTTTCCAGGTTGCATCTCTAAACATTAAACATTCTTACGGCAAATCAGCCTCAAATTTTACTGATCCACGTGATCAGTTTAGTCAGAGTGTTATACCCATTTCTGAGTACCAGTTTCTGTTTCAGTTAGGTTTTATGTCACTGTAACCAAACACTCTTGACAAGGAAAATGTTGAGAATGGACAGCTTATCAAGCACCTGTGATTTCAGAGAAGTCAGTTCATAGATGGCCAACTCCATTTCTCTGGGCCCAAGGAGACACAGCACATCATAAGGGTAAGGCCCAGTGGAGGAAAGCTGTTCCCCTTATGGGAGCAAAGAAGCAGAGAAGATAAGGGTTTAACAGAAAAGAAGCAGCAGTGACATATCTCCTCCAGCAACACCCCACCTACATACAGTTATCACCCAGTTACTCCAATGAAAGTAGGACGATCGGATTAGATGACAGCTCTCACAATCTGATCATTTTAGCACCGAATATTTCTGCATTAGCCCAAGAACTTTTAGGGGACACCTGCTATCCAAACCATAACACACAGTAAACATATCTACTGATATTGAGGCAGGACCATCACACAGTCAAGTCCAGCCTGAGGAACTTAGCAAACCTTCTGTCTTGAAAAAAAAAAAAAAAGCCTGGCGATCTACTTCAGTGGTAAAGCACTTGACTGATTTGACTGATACATATATCATGGGTTCGATGGGTTCAATCACCAGCACATCCCCCACTGCCAAAAAATAAATGAGGGATTTGAGGTCAGTCCTTCTCCTTCCTTTATGTGAGGATACAACAGCAATGTGGTTTGATTTTGAACTTGCCAGTCTTCAGAACTGGGAGAAATTAACCTGCTAATAAATTACCCAGTTCAAGATATTTTGTTAGAGCACCATTCAGGGACCCAGTCATCTGGTAATGCCTTCATTTCTTCCCCCTTGGGAAGGACACTTTTGCTGGTTCTAGGATTTCTGGTTTCCATATTTTGTACATTATCATTTTCAATATATAAACCTAATGTTTTTACATTCCAGGGCCTCTAATGAGAAGCCTTCCTCCTTCTGACTCACACTATGTGTTAAGATTTGACTCATCTGGGCATTTTAGTTTTCCAGATAAATTTCATGTTTATTTTTCTATTTCTACAAACAATGTCATCAGAACCTTAATAGGACTTGCATTAAATCTGTACAGCACTTTTGATAGTATGGCCATTTTGACAATATTAATTCTGGCTATACAAGAACATGGGAGATCTTTCCACCATCTAAGGTCTTCTTCAATTTCGAGTTCTGTAGCTTTCATTGTAGATGTGTTCCACCTCTTTTATTAGATTGATTCCCAATTTTTTATTTGAGGTTATTGTGAATGGCATAGCTTTCCTAATTTCTCTTTCAGTTGATTCATCACTGATGTATAGGAAGTCATGGCTGTCACACTGAGGATTTCTTCTTTTTTAACTATATTTGACCTCTTGAGTCCCTGATCTGCTTTGAATGTCCAGTTTTAAATTCCAGGAAAGCACCCACCCCAACCACACTTTTTTTTTTTTTTTAATAAATCCACCTTACAGAGAAGCTACCTGTCTGCTTTCTTGCCACAGAGCAGCCTGGAAATCAACATTCTCTATTCTGCAATCTGGAAAACCTCAGCCAGTCCACTCTTGAGTGGCTTTTACAATGAAAAATATATCATGGACAGAATAAAAATGACATTGATTGCTGAAAACCTGACTGATTAGTTTCAAAGACTATAGTGATGTGAGTGGAGTTGACTGATCAGACTGGAACAGCAACATTGCAACCAAGTACATAAAAACAGGCCCTCAGCCATGAGCTCCAAGAAAGGGTCAATGTTTTCTTGTCAGGAATATGTAGGGAACAGAATGCGGTGTGGTCTCCTAAATTTGTTAATACTTCTGGGGGAAAAAAAAGTGACTAGCAAGAAAATGAGGAACTCGCCCAATGGCATTTAATGAACTCTTACCTTCAGCACACAACCCTGGAAAATTTGTCTACCTCATATGTTAAAATCAGATGGAAATTTAAGAGATGTCATCATGACAACATAATAACAAATGCTCCAGATTAGAAAGTGACTTTCAGTGACAGTTAAAATTCTTGAGTGCTAAATATTTCATCAGAAACATAGGGTTCCTTCTTTGTTGCCAATCTATAATGATGAATCTGTTTTCTTGTCTGGTATAATAGTGAATCCAAAAAGTGATCGTAGCCATCAGAATTATAGGCCAATATGTAACCTAACTTCAGATAGTCTGTCTCATCAGAGAACGGGCTCATTTTGGGGGAATATATGAACCATACTGATAGTTAAATTAGAAGCCACAATTTGTTTACAAATTTGTGGTCCCAAAGAGGAGGGACTTTAATATGCCAGACTGATTGTGTATAGTTTTCCACGTGGTAGAACAAGGAGTTGAAAATATATCTGCAGTCCCAGAGTTGGTAGAAATATAACAAGTTTTTATATCAAGGGGGGTAATATTTAGTGTTGTAAAAATGGCTTTAAGTTCTGTCCATCAAGTGTTCATATATATATTTTTCATTCTGCAGAACTGGCCCTGAGGTTAAACATCCAAAGTGACACAGTGGAGGAAATAATTAGGTTTCAACTTAGATAAACTACTGGGGCATCATACCTAGATATTTAGACAAGTTCTGGGAATCAGGGTTCAAAGCATTGCTTCATGTAGTGGATTATTTTCACCAAAGAGCTAAGTGCTTTTTATGCCATGCCAGTGCTAATGGGCTGCTCTCTATTAAACCAAATTGACTTCAGAAGATTTCTGTCTACTTAAACTTCATGTGAATTAGCAGGGTAATCACTACTGATGTGATTGCTTCAGTTTTGGGAATCCCTTGAATCAACAACCATGAAACATTGCTTTTTGGCTGGAGCTGTGTGTCTTGTGCTCCTTAGTTGACTTGGGCTTGGTTCATACAACAGTGAATTTCTTTAGGGATTTCCCTTTACTTCCAGTCATTTGATGCTACATTGGCATGATAGCATCTCTTAAATTTTGGTCTGGTTTTAACATATAAGGAGGTGAGTTTTACCTGGGAGTGAAATGACTTTTGGAATTATTAGATTCTATTGGGTCAGTTTCTCATTTACCCATGAGTAACCTTTGGTCAAAAGGATAGATACATTGCTTTTTACTTTTATTTCACACAGTTTTTTTTTCTTTTTCTTTCTGAAACTGTTTCTGTTATGGCAAGACTGTACTTACTGAAACAAATGCCCATTGAGAAAAGTCTTGTCATCTCCAAAAGCATTCAAATGTTAGAAGACTTTGAACTATATGTGGCCTTCTTATTGCTTTGTTGTTGTTGCTGTTGTTTACAAGAACTGCATGCACTTTCCCCTCATCTACAAGAAAACTGGCAAAACTTACAAGTTTTGATATTTTTCTCCTGAACTAAAAACTCCTAGTTTATATCTATGTATTTTTTTATTAATCTGAAAAACGAATAAAAGTAACAAAATTTACTACAAGATCTTATACTGACCTTCTATTATTGATGAAATTCTACCCAAGTAAGGAATAGAGAACAATAAGCAGGTCACATTTTAGGCAGAGGTCATTGTATGTAGTTCACAAATTGTCTTGTAATCACCTCCACAACTTCCTCTCTAAGATTCTTCTAAGATTCACTAACGTATTTGCCACCGGTTCCTGTGAATTTCCCTAGCACCCTGTAAACTGCCTCACAAGGCCTTCACATTTCCTCTTTCAGAAAAATCATGTCCCTTAAGTGTCCCTTTCCTGTTCCAAAACTATCAAGAAATATGAATGGTTCGTGGGCACCATTATGTTATTGCCTATCCCCTTTGCCCCTCACCCCTCCAGGCTTGTGAAGCTGGTGTGAATGGCCCCAGAGCTATGCCTGCCTAAGGAGTGGACTGTTTTACAAGAGAAGGGCTCTGTGCTTAGTCAATCTGAAGATTTTGTAATGCCAGTAAACATGAAAGACCCTGGTTCAGGAAGAAGCCATCTTTCCTTTACCCAATGCCTTTCTGTGGTTAGCGCCACAAGGGGACACTGTATCAGTTTTCCAAGGCTCTTTGTTCTTTAACTTTCCTTGAAAAGATAGTGTGGAATGAGGACTTGCAAGTTGTATTGAAACAAGGGCTCAGAGCATGTGCAGAAACAAGAGAAATTAAAATTAAATTGAAAAATATCTCACACTCCAACATTTCAATGTGAATCTACATACTATATAAATCAATATTAAATGAATTTTCAGAAAGTTTATTGTGGCTTAAATGCATATGTGTCATTATAAAGTGACCCTGAATATGAACATTATTTTTAATGTTTACTTATACCAGAATCTTATTATGGATCTCCTGTCGTAGAGAAGAAAGTGTAAGACAATTACGCTCAGCTATTACTAAAAGCCTAGATAGTGATAGTGAGAAAACAGAAAATATGTGAAAAATTAAACATTAATTTGTAACAAGGCATTATGATGAGTGACTCATAAAAATGAATTGTGTCCCTCTCACACATACATGCACAAAGCCAGCTGCTGAGCAGTTGTCTTATCATTATTTCTTTGTGACTTTTATTATGACTCATTAGAATATTTGTCTACTATTATTTTATACTTTTCAACATTTTCTCCATACATATATAGTTGCCAGATAACTGAGTTTCAAGTGTATAAGATTTCACATAAATTGTGTTTTTATTTTGCCTCAGATTTCACAACAAATCAGCTTCATAGTTTAAGCAACAAAAAAATTTAAATATAACTCCATGAATTGTTTAAAATGGAAAATTATATATTATTAAAATAATTTATTATTGCTAACAATTTAATGTGAAAACTGATAACTTTGTCATAATTACTGAAGATACATTGAAAAATAAGAAGTTAATATTTATTGATAATTTTATATGCCAGGTACCACAATGTGTAATTCTGATATATTGCTTAGTACAGCAATACAAATTAGATTATACAACTCAGCAATTGAAGTTTGTATGACTCTAAAAAAATACGTTGTAATGCTTTACATATCATTGTTATGAAAAAATTTATAAGATTTCAGTAAATGTTTAATATTGTTATTTACAATAATTGTTTACATATGCATAGTTCCATTCAGAAATTTTCTATTAATTTTCAAAGATGATTTTCATTTCCATGTAAATATTTATTTTCATTTGAATATGTAGGGGAAAAATCATAAAACCTACATTAAAAAATGTAAGGTAATTTGTTGTAAAACTTCTAGGATATAAAACAGATTACAAAAACTATTTAAAATTCATTCGTGCATGTGTTAGTCAGCTTCGCATCACTGTGACTAAAATAACTACGAGGACAACTTAGAGGAGAAAAAGTTCATTTGGGGATCATGGCATCAGAGGCCCAATGCACAATTGGCTGACTCCATTGCTCTGGACCTAAGATGAGGCAGCAAATCTTGGCACAAATTCGTGGTGGTGGAGCGCTGCTCTATTCATGGTGACCAGGAAACAAAAGGAAAAAGGCAACAGGTAAGATGCACCCTTTCAGTCTATGCTTTTAGTGATCCAATGCTTCCAATCATGCCCCAGCAGCCTACAGTTACCACACAGTTAGTCCATTCAAACTAGGATGAACCGATTAAGTTACAGCTCTCATAATTCAATCATTTGATTGCTGACTGTTCCTGCATTGACAGGAGCTCTTGAGGAACACCTCATATACAAGCAACACAAATTCAGAACTCAGAAGGGGTCTTTAGTGTACATATAACTGCAACTTCCGTTTCTGTACCTTTCAAATTAAACTATCAATGCAGAGACTCTGAATTCCCAACATGGATCAAGTGTGCCTGTACATTTATCAGCTGAAGAAAGAGGAACAGTGAGAAAATAGATGTCAGGCAATTACTCCTTTATTTTCATTAGCATCCTCAAAGCGATCCCAAAAAGATGTCCCAATAGTGTCTATTGTACAACATCACTGTAATATAGAATTTTATACAAATAAATAGAAGAGCAAAGTATTATGGGCAGAAGTATTCTGTAAAATAAAAGCAATAACATTTTTACCATAAAGTTTTCAACTGTTTTCTCTCAACTATTGCAGAATGGCAGATTGTTTTTAAAATTATTTGGTACTAATAATAAAAAAATAGTGCCTGAAATACATATTTGAGGTCCAGTAAAGTTGATTGTGTGTCTATGTATTCATGATCTTAGGATGCCCTCATGCTGTCAGTAAATCAATTGCAATGTTTATATTCCTAATTCAGGGAAAGAATCCTCTGAATTTATGTTAAAAATAATCAAGTAACTTCAAATGGAGCTGTTTTGTATCTTGAAAGGTAATTTTGATCTTATTTTTTCAACATATATAAGCTTTCATACACACACACACACACACACACACACACACTCACACACACACAATGATTTACCATATAGACTGTCATAGCCAGTAGTAGCCAGATTATAGATTCTGGAACTATACTATCTGGGTTGAAAAGTTCAAACTAGTTTTTAATTCCTTTCCCAATATGTTTCTTTAAACAAGAAATCTTTGTGCCTGAGTCAGTTTATCTATAGGCAGGAGTAGTAATAATACCCACTTTAAAGACAAATGAATGTTAGGTACTGATTTTTCATGCTAAAATTTTTACTATAAAGTAATAATTTTATTTTCTCAAGAAGTTTGCCCAGTTTTTAACTTTAAAATAAATTCAGCGTACTTCAATTTGGTGCACAAAATGTTTTCTTTATGTAAATCATTAAGATCAATTTACAATGTACACTAATTCTCTTAAGATTCTTGAGGATATTTGTTTAGATTATTTTGTTTCCTTTCCTCTTCTCTCTTTTCTCTTTCAGATGGCACAGTACATGGTAGCAGTAAATTCTTTGGTTGGATTTCAAAAATACTTAAAAATTACCATTACTCAGAAACTTAAGGAATGAACAAAAAACTTGAAAGATTTATAGCAACTCAAAGTCCCATCTAAAATTATCAATTATTTTCCTCCAAATTCTCTATAAATGAAAACACAAAAAGTAGTTTGGATGGGAAGACTTAAATATCTGCATGGAAAATGTGGGGATGTAAATAAAATAATTAATCTAAATTCTACTCCAATATCATTACTAAATGCTGTGTATTTCAGCTCTGATACTACTTTAAAAGGATCAGAGTATCACTTGCTTTTTTCCTTGCTATAGTTCCAATTTCTATGATGAGACCGAACATAGAACAGGTATTTGGTAAATATGTGTGAAACAATGAATAAATGTTTTTTAAAATAATACTTTCCATGACACATAAAAGTTGTATGTATTTGTAGTCTACAACATTTGATGTGTGTATATTTATTGTGGTATTAAATAAACCTTTATTATTTAAGTTCTTATGTATGGATCTGTAAATGAGTAGATGGTGCGTCAACCCAACCATTTGTAATCAGAATTAGTTTCAAGTTCCATTTTCAGTTGTCTTTCTTTTTTCCTACTTTGGAGTTGACATTTTTAAATAATAAGAATATAATGATAAAATAAATTACCAAAAGGTTTGTATTTAAAAAGAATTTGTATTTTTACACACACAGTTGTATTTGTAATTAACCAAATATAGAAGTAAATAATACTGAACTATTTTTTGCTGAAAAACATTAAAACAAATTCTAAAATTTATTACAATATTCATGATATTTTTGGTACTTGATACCATATAATTATCTCAATATTAAATTACAGTTTCTTTTTGAGCATTCATAAAGAATATTACCAAAACATATTTGAATATATTATTTTCTTTCACAAAATGAAGAAAATCAAGTAGAATTTCTGTTATCTTGCATGCTAGCACCATACATGCAAGTGTTTTGGCAAAGATGCCATCCATCTGTAGTGGCCAGTGGCTGTATTGAGAACGCAAAATCAAGAACTCTATCAAGAACTCTAACAAAATCAAGAGTCTATCAAGCTTCTAAGAGACAAATGTTTCATCAGTAGGAATAATTAGATAAGCAATAATTACCCTTTTTTCTGGCCTTGGACAGCTTCCACATTCTCCAGCATGCCCTGTATTCCAGCTCATGGGAAATGTGCTTATGATGGACAGCTCTCCTTGCAGATTCTTGATATCAGCTGGCCAAGCTCTTTCTTAGTAGGACCCTGCAGCTACATAAATTCTACATTTAGAAGAGAGTGGAATTCATTCCACAGAAAATATGTGCCTCTTCCAGTACATTAGGAGTCTCTGCTGTGACTTCATCACAGAAACTTACCACACAGTCCATAAAACATCCTCACCCATTGCAGATCTAATGCACCTTCAGATTTGCTAGATGTCTGATTCCAGGATAGCTGTACTGTAGATTATGCTCACTACAGAGCCCTCATTACTGTGAAACCCACTCAAATCTTGATGCTTCCAAGTGATTCATTAAATGAGAACTATTCCAAAATGTGCTTTATGCTTCCTCAAAATCTACAGAAGTAGCAAAGAAGTCCAAGGGGATAAAAGGAAGTGAAAGAAAATACATTGCAGTCTTGTCAAGTAGGAGAGGTAGCATGCTGAATGATGCCATAAATGGTTGACACACAGGCATCTTTATCCTTATTTATTTATTTTCCCCCATACACTACTTTCTGTTACTACATTGCAGTGAGAAATTTTTAGCCACATAAATGAGTCCAGCCAAGTTACAAGATATAAAATCAATACCCATAAATCAAATGTGTTCTTATATGTCAGTGATGAATCCACTGAAAGAGAAATTAGGAAAACTACCCCATTCACAATAATATAAAAAAAATACTCAGGAATCAATCTAATAAAAGAGGTGAAAGACTTCTACAGTGGAAATTACAGAACAAAACAAAGAAATTGAGGAGACCTTAGAAGATGAAAAGATGTCCCATGTTATTAGATAGCAGAATTAATATTGTCAAAATGACCATACTACCAAAAGCACTATACAGATTTAATGAGATTTCTATTAAAATCCCAATGACATTCTTCATAGAAATAGAAAAAGCAGAATGAAATTTATTTGGAAAAATAAAGCCCAGAATTGCCAAAACAATCCTTAGCAAGAAGAGTGAAGCAAGAGGCATCACAATACCAGACCTTAAATTATACTACAGTGCTTTGGTAATAAAATGGTATGGTATTGGCACCAAAACAGACATGTACACCAATGGAACAGATTAGAAGACACAGAGAGAAACCCAGAAATACAGTTGTCTCAAACTAGACAAAGGCACCAAAAACATTCACTGGAGAAAAGAGAGCCTCTTCAAAAAGTGGTACTGCAAAAACTAGAAATTCATACATAGCAAAATGAAATTAAACCCCTATCTCTCACTCTGCACAAATTCAACTCAAAGTGAATCAAAGACTTAGGCACAAAAACAGAGACCCTGCACCTAACAGAAGAAATAGTAGGCCCAAATCTTTACCACATTGGCTTAGGACCTGACTTCCTTAACGAGACTCCTAACGTGCAAGAAGTAAAATCAAGAATCAATAAATGGGATTGAATCAAACTAAAAAGCTTCTTCTCAGCAAAGGACACAATCAATAATGTGAAGAGAGAGCCTACAGAATGGGAGAAAATCTTTACCATATGCACCTCAGATAGAGCACTAATTTCCAGAATATATACTCATAAAACTTGACACACACACACACACACACACACACACACACACACAAAACAATTAATAAATTGGCTAAGGAACTGAACAGACACTTCACAGAAGAAATACAATCAATCAACAAATATATTAAAAAATATTCAAGATATCTAGCAAATAGAGAAATGCAAAACAAAACTATTCTTAAGATTTCATCTCACTCCAGTCAATCTGTTTTTTATCTCTATGAATTTACCTCTTCTGGGTACATCGTATAAATTGAATCAGACAATATATAATCTTTCACATAGTCTTCCTTCACTTAGCATATTGTTTACAAATTTAATTCACACTGTAGCATATATACCAGTAATTAATTTCTATTGATGGATGGATGTTCAGGATGTTTGACATTTTCACTATAGTGCTTGTATGGACCTTCAGAAGCAATTATTTGAGTACATATGCTTTTCAATTCTATTATGTATATGTCTAGAAGTGAAATTGCTGGAGCATAAGTTATGTCTGTGTTTAACTTCCTTTTGTTTTTGTTTGCTGGTATTAGGGATTGAACTTGGGGGCACTCAACCACTGAGCCACATCCCCATCCCTAGTGTTTGTATTTTATTTAGAGACAAGGTCTCAATGAGTTGTTCCCTACCTCGCTGTTGCCAACGCTAGCTTTGAACTTGTGATCCTCTTGCCTCAGCCTACTGAGCTACTGGGATTAAAGGTGTAAGCCTCCATGCCCAGCTTGTGTTTAACTTTTGAAGGAGCCACCGAATTGCTTTCTATAGCAGCCATGCCATTTTACATTACCACCAGCATTATATCAGGCTTCTGATTTCTTCACACCCTCACGAATGCTTATTATTTTACAATATTTTTACAATTGCCATCTTTGCATTAAATTATATCTCATTATATTTTTAACCAAGTATTTATTTTGCACAACACAGTCCTCTGAAAAAGCATTTGGGCTCTTTATTGGAGCTTTAGGGTAAAAATGATTCCCTACTGGGAAATGAACATGCTTCTCTAGATGAATCATCAGATAATGTGGGAAGCGGAACTTGTTCTTAATTTGAGAAATTTTGTTATATATGTTTAAATATAACTTATATTTAGCTAATTTTTATTTTTCTACTTTGGTTTCACATACTCTTTCACAACAGAGTTGTGAGCCATTACAACTCTCGAATTTTTTTCAAGGTTAATATGTGTGCATGTTAGAGAGCAATATTGTACTAAAAAGGAAATGCGCATTTAAGTCTTAAATTTTCCAATTCCCTTTATGCTATTGTGCTACTATAGTCAAATGTTTAGCATGCTTGTTTTTGGCAACAAATAACCAGCAGCAGAAAACACAGCTGCCCTATTAAACTGCCTGTATCCATCACCATCATTTCCCAAAAGGTTTTTTAAAACCTATGTTTAAAACCACTTTTTATGAATTTTTGCATTTTTAATGTAACATAAAATAGAATACTGTGTTTATATTTTTCACTGAAGACAGTGGAATGTCAAATTTGATTTTTGCATCAATATTTATGCATTAAAACAATGAAATAAATGAAAACAACGTGTGCTAATTTGTTTTCAATTAGAAACGCCAAAGGTCATATCTCATATGACTTCAATCTTCTAATGAAATAGCTCCAGATTTCAGGTTGTTAATTAACAGAGACAAAGCAGCATTGAAGTGAACTGATAAATTTAAACCCTTAAATAATGTCCTTAGAGTGTTGTAAATGTAATTATGTATTTTGATATTATCTACTTATTGTACATTCGAGTTTGTTTCCATACAATATTAACAAAAGTTTCAAGCTAGAGTCAACATAGACAATCTGAGTTCCATGTTGAGTGCTACCTATGACCCTGGGCCATTTTGTTAACGTTTCTGGAGTTCAATTACTTCATCTATAATATGATTATCTACCTTGTGAAATGGTTAAGACCTAAATTCATCAATTCACGAAAACTACTTGGAGCTGTGCCTGGAATATAGTAAGCTTTCAGGAATATTGTTAAATGATTTCAAAACGTAAAGAATTTGGGGAACAGAGCTGTATTTCTTTGACTATGGTGGCAGGGAACACAGACATTTCTGAAGGAACTCTGCCTGGCATCACCTTCGCCTTCCAGTTGGGCTCACGCGGTAGCTTCTCTTCTCTGACATCCTTGTCCTATAGTCCCAGTGTGTTCCCCACATTTTAGCCAGACTTATCCTTTTGAAAGCATAACTTGTATCTCTTCTCTTGTTAAAAGGCTCCAATAGTTTCCTATAAACGTAGAATTGAACCAAGCCTCTTCATTACATACATCTTTCAAAATGCTAACCCATCTGGCACTGCCCTCCTTTCTGATTTAATCCGTGCTACCCAGCTGCTTGAGGCATTTGCAGCCACACAGGCTACCTTTTTGTGAACCAAACTTGCCAGTTACCCCCTGATTCCATTCTTTACATGTGTTACATCTTCCCACT